CTTTTTGCTCGTTAATATTTATCATTGCAGTTTATTTTATACTTTTATACTGTTTAGAATGATATAATGTTGTAAATTGAGCAACCAAAAGGGAAACAAAATAGCACTTTAGGAAAGACAGAAAAATCAACCTTTATCCATTTGTGAAAATAAGCTTACCCACTTAATCATTTTATTCAAGCTTCAATAAAAGTTCATAGTTTTAAACACTTGTCACAGTACACTCTAATTATGAAAAGACGATAATTCCGAATTTGACTTTCTTTTGTTACCAAAGTAAAAATATATGTATATATAAAACAATATGAAATACCGAAGTGCAGTATTGTCATATTATATACGTTTGAATGTATTATGACTTTAGCCAATAAAAAAAAAAAACTCACAATGTAAAGAAAACGTATACAACTAATAACTTATGATTTTACGCTTTTTGGCATGACGTGATGAGTTCTACATTCATGAAGATAGAGACTTTTTAAAAATCGCAAGCTAAACACAATTAACAATGTGAGAAGTGTATTCATTGCCGTCTGATTATGTCTTTGCCTCACAATGATATAAAGGTAATCCTTTTTTTTCGTCATCAGGTCATTTTCAATTTGGCATTTTTTTCACACGTGTTCTGAAAACATACTGTATAAATCTGTATAGATCTCCTAGCCCAAATGACCTATTAAATATACTGAAAACCTACACTTGCGTTCCAGATATTACATTTCACTGCATAAATTATTTTGCTGGTGCTCAGTTTTCCTCGAATAAAATAACTGAAAGTGGTATCTAACATCACTTAAACTAGGTACATATATATATATACATGATACATGGAAGATATTTATATAAACTCTGTATATGATATGTAGAAGATATTTATATGAATAATTGCAATATTAAATGTAAATTGGTGAAGCTGTTACTTAATGTTTTTCCTACAATGGAGCACAAGATAAAAAAAACATCTCAATATGGCTAGGATTAATTACAGCACTTTGCTAATGGAAACCTCTAAAGAGAAAGTAAAGACGTTAATAATAACTCAAATACATTTAATTTTAAACTACTCCTTCACTAACATATCACTAATTTGATTATATTTCCCATATTAAACATACTCACACACAAAACCGAACATTTTATGGACAATGAAATCAATTCTTTACCCTCGTCGTTTTATTCACTCTTCTATTTATGTCCAGAAATGTTTTTAGTTTGAATCTAACGTATCAACTATGGAATTGACATTTGATATTTGAAACTGATGATAACAGCACATTTTTTCGTCCTAATGTTCAGTTACGAATAAATCCACGTTTCATCATAGCAGACATTTTGAGCCCTATTTTTTCCTTTCTCTTCTAAGAAGCTCAGTTGGGTTAAGCTTCGTGTCTGTACACGTGTGTTATTTTCGTTGACAGCTGAATTAACCGCATGGGCTCACGAGCAACACGAGGAAATGATCGTAATAGTACAAAGCAGGCTTTTTGCAATGGAAACAGGCGCCGTAGCTTTGAGAAAACAAACATTAGAGAAGCTTATAAAAAGCTTTAGTTACGTATCAGTTGGATCTATATCTATCTGTTTCTATGAATTTATCTCCCGTTTTACAACTATACTTGATTCCTACAAATATTCTTGCACGAATTTGTTAGTTATATATGCCTTTATTGGTGAAATATCTGTCTTCCGTAAAACAAAATGCACCACAACTCATCTACGTGGGTTATTATTCCTAGCTGGTGAACTTTAACATTGGTAGCTTTAAATGTAATAAAAACCTGTGACGACATAATGTAAATCAGTGAATATGGAATTAAAATACTTTTATGCGTCACAAATATTAAAACATTGCACCTGTTCTTTTCTCTTGAGAAAAAGTTTTATACGGTTAAGAAAAAATTAATATTAAGATTTGAATAGTTATATTGCAACCCGTAAACCACAAACAAAAGCAGCATTCTGCATTGGTCATGATGGTCAGCCGGTAAGAAATGTGGCGACGTTTGATTTTATAGTAGATTAAGTTTCGGCTGCAAATAATATTAATGGCTACACTGTACTTTTGACATTTCTGTTACGTTAATGTATCTTGCATTTTCTGTGTTTCTGTTAAAGAAAATGCCATTGACTTCATCTGCCGATTTCACTTACAGTAAGACGAGATTTTTTGCAATTGACGTTTTTTAATTTTTATTTTTGGTATAACCATAGGAATTATTTTTTGTATAATTGTGTAGGTTCTATGTTTGGATGGTGAAATCTTTCTTTTTTGTTCACAAACTAGGACCATGACCCCAAACGAGGAATCGCGTGCTGACGATTGTATGCGTCCCTCTTAATTTGTTTGAAATTATTTCGCTATCAACCACTGTTGAACTTATAATTGTAGCTATTTTAGTGAATTAGTAGTAGTGTTGTGTGTGGTTGTCCAATACTTCCTTAGGAAAATAATCAACTTTAGCCTCTATAACATTTTATATAGCTTTATATAGGTTTGTGTTTTAGTGAACGCTCCCGGAAAAGCTGTAAAGCGAAACGTTGAGTGTTTTATTAAATATAAACAACATTTTGGTGTTATAAGGTCGTTTATTTCTAGGATCAAAAATTAATATAGCCCAAACCAAGAGAGTAAATACTGGTAGCAAAACACCTGCGTATTACTCATACTCTTAGGTATACTGATCTTTGATAATTATCATGACATACGCATTATGTCTACATTTCCACGCAGCTGTTAAGATGTCGTCATATTTTACACGTACTTGACTTGTACACCTGGTGAATCATTGCTGGCTTTGGGGAAATATTCTTTCAGAGTATTTTTCCCTCACATCAGATTTGTCCAGTTGGAGTACTGCCTGAATATCCAACACTTTGCTATGGCAGCGACAATCCATTGAAAATTAAATGCTGCTTTTCCAGCATATTTTAAAGTATATTGTTGCACTGCTGCATCACTCTAATATATTGAACAGTGAGGATCTGAAACTTCCTGGTTTGTTGAATTAAACAATGAAACTTTCATTGCAAATAATTCGGGTATGTAGTATTGTTGATAAGATACAGTGCTCAGGTAGCTATTGATTTTTCTTTGTTTTTTGTCATGCTCAATCCAACACAGCCTAAGTGTTAATAGTATAAAAACAAAAAATTCTCTATGTCCGAGGCATACCTAAAAAGCTATAACTGAGAACATTGTTCTTTATGAGTTAACATAAAGCCATCTCTATCAACCACTTAAAATATATTTAAATGTTGTAGAGCCAGTTCAATATAATTACTCATTGAGCTATATTACGGAAATTTCACCCATATTGCTCAATGGGTTTTCAGTCAGAACCAATAAATTTCAGTTTTCTTCCTCTTAATAACTATTCGATAGGTCCAATTACTCATGGAAGGCTGAATGACTCCTTTTTGGGCAAGCATCTTATCTTATACTTAAAACCATTGCTGCTCGTCTGGTGTAATATTATATTGAATGCTTCATAAAACAGTCATGGTCCTTGTTCATTTGGTATCTATTTAGAGACGTCCTACATAGGTTATTAGCTGATTCTTACCTATGTATATTAATAAATACATCCTCAATTGACAATTCGTTAGTCATATTCGCTGTTGTAGAAGCAGGAACTTGTAATTGTTCAATTTGTAGTTGCTCACACTTTACAACGTGTAGTCTACATTCAATGAAAACAGTCATCGTAGCTTGCTCTTGAACTATTCACTGTCTAATATTAAAAAAATATAGCTGTAGCTTGATAAAAGATTCTGAAAATATATAAAAATAGGAATAGTTATGATAGCAATAAATGGTTTAAGTGTAAAATAAAACAAGAAGCGAGATCAAATATAGATCATCGTCAAAAATATCACAAATGTGTTGAAGCAGTACGTTACAAGAAGCTAAATAGCTCATTGAGACTTATAGTATTCTAAAGGTGATCATTTGTGTTAAAATATATTGCAATGAGTTTATCAGGATTAGACTACTTAACATTTGTGAAGTCTTCCCGGGTTCTTTCAGTTAACATGTGGCCTATGTGTAAACCACCATGCACAGTTTTCACGGATGATACAAATATAGGACAAATTTGAGGCTCAGGAGAAGTTACCTTTTGTATAATATGTACGTTTTGGTCAATGTATTAATGTTCGTTTGTCTGTGTAATATTGTGATGCAGTATGTACATTCTAATGTTAGTGTGACGTTTGTAAAGAATAAAAGAAATCTGTTTAAAAAAATATTTCAGCATTCAATCATATCGAATAATGTAAACATTATTCAAGATAAAATCAAAATTTCCCTAAGCATTTTGATTTTAAAAGCTACTTGTAGCATCATCCCTGTTTTGTTTTTTTAATGATATGTCTCCTCAATGGCTTAGCAGTAAGTTTGAGAGTTTATAATGCTAAAATTTAAAATTTGGTCCACTATGTGGATGTAGCACAAACAGATAATTGTGTAAACAAATAAAATAAACGGACTTTATAATGGAATGGGGATAATAACAATTATAAAAATACGTGTCATGTCATTAGTCTTGGGATTATCATCATCATTTGATTGGTGTATAATCGGCATAGCTTTGTAATCTATAGATTTAGAATGTTACATTGTACGTAATGTACTGCTTAATATATGATTTATGTATTGACTGGTTTATAATATACACTTATGATTATTACTATATTTATACTAAATGAAATATTAATGACGAATAAATTCACAAAAAATTGAAGGAATTCGTCAAATGTACTTGTAGCTTTGTCATCGCCAGTTACGTCATCTACATAACACTTATAAAGAAATGATAGTGCACTATCTTACTGGAAAAAAAAGGTGTTCTTTAAATACTCCATACAATTTCGTAAAGGCTTTAAAATATTTCATTTACTTCTCTCTTTAGACAATATTTTGACTTATTAACCAGAAAAAATGCTCTGTATTCCTCCTTACACTTGATTATAATGAATGTGTCTGTTTTCATTCCCTGTAGGTCAACATCAGATACGATTTGGAGCCATATGACTTACTGATGGAAAAGATAATGATCACCATTAGGAAGTATCTTTGCTTGACATCTTGTTAAGAGGAAGAAAAGGCTTGAGGAGCTATACGGATTACTTCTAGATAATACCAATCAATAGAGTTGCCATTTCTCTACATTAAATAACAACCACAGGATTTAGCGAAGGAACATCTAGGAAGCAGTCTTTGCTCTGTAAAAGAACATTTGATCAAAGGTATGTTATTGTGTTCCGTTTACTCACCAACAAAAATTATTTGTTGATTTTTGAAATTAACATTATTTTTGAATTGTCAACAGAATTAGTTTTACAAAGAAATATAAACAGAAAAGTGTTAGTCAGTTTGACAGCAATTACTAATATTATGTCTTTATGTTAAAGGGGACGTACAAGCCGTAAAAGAAGGCTTGAAATAATACTTTTAAACGCTACCAAGGTAGGTAATAAAATTAATTATGTTTATGTTATCACACGTAAAGCATAGTCATGTTTAACAACTTTCTGATGTACGATCCGATGATCAAAAATAATTATAGTGTCATTACAAGACAGATAGATTAATATAGAATAATAACTTGATCAATAAATTCAAATATATTTTAAATTTAAAATATTTGGTCAGTTTGCTTAGCATTTACATATAATTGATATTTTTCGAATAAGAATTTGGTTGCATTTAGAAATTCAAAGTCATTGACTGCTCTAACTGTTTTATTTTTTAACTAAACAAGAATGTTTTGAATATAGAAAAATCTCTATGTTGCTGAAATCAACGAATCCTAGGTGTCTGCAATACTACTTTTGTCCTTAACTTGATACCGAAGTCATTGGTTTAAGAGCGAATATACATAAACATAAATAACCATATCAAATATTATGCTACAGTTCTTGAAGTTCTGATTTTACAAACCATATTGGTATATAAGCTCTTCTAATATAGCTCGTGAGTTTCGAAGTGACTCCGTTTCAAAGACACAAGTAAAGAAAAAAAAACATTAAGAATGACGTTCTGTCCACTAAACAATATATAATGTACACTATTAAAAGCAAATGAAGACTAATTGGATATTTCTATGTTCTAGCTATGACAATGAACAACACAACCACTGTTATTAGATTATGTCAAAGGCACACCTGAGTTAATTTTTATGTAAAACATGTATCAGATCATCTGATTTGATCTGCAGATTTCAGTGGTACTAAAAAGAGAAGGGGACATTGTGTGTTCTTACTTAATAGTTTGAACAACAGCAGCGTTTGTAAAATTATCTAGACAGAAATATGCCAGGACCCAAAAGAAAATATTTAGACATTTCAATGGTAGGGTGGGAAATAGTTCAATTACAATTTGGTCAAATATAACAAATCGTTGCAAATGGATAGAAGTTTCCCAAAGTGTGATTAGCAGGGAATGTAGTCAATAGAGTTGGACAGAGGCTTGTACAGGGTAAGATATTCTCAACAATAAACATTATTTAATAATATGGTGTTGTCGAAACTAGCGAGGCTAAGATTCACACTGAGTCAGAAGCTTAGGAAGCAACTGCGTGACAAGTTATCATGTAAACAGTCAGGAACAAGGTTAACCACTAGCCAAACGATAAGTGGTATGTATTCTTCTAGTTTATCTCCACAAAACATCCCGTCTTTAGTGGTGGGAGGATCATGACATGTGAGCAAATGCCTTCTTTACTGTCGAACTGTGCTACACACTGCAACCAGATACCCAGCGTGTACATATTTGGAAAATGACCGGGAAGCGACCTAAACTCAGTTTCATGAAGAAGACACGTGTATGGCGAGAGTGGCATACTAATCTGGCCAGAGATCAATAATGGTGACCATAATGGTCCTTTTGTGCTACGACATAGCACACCGAACGTTGTGCAATATAGGATTGCATCCTAGCAACCAGTCGTGTGCCTATGCGCATGTACAGGTGTTTATAACATTTTGCACCGGATAATAACTAACGTGTGTCCCCACAGTGCTCAACTGGTTAGCTACCTGCTATAAAAAGATTCCAGAGTAACTGGATTTTAAACACAGTAATCTCATAAGACGCTTATCAACCTCTCACGGTGGTGATAAACTGGAATCAGATGTGATGGAGGACTGGCCACATTACCACACCAGCTCATTCGTTAATATATTATACATTATTAATATGGTCATCGATATATTACTTTCATTAATGACCGAGGTGATCATGAGTTTTATAAACAAAAGTTTTATGATTGGACTGCAAAGTCTCTAGCATCAAAGCGAGCATTTGTGAACATTAGTATCTGTGACAATAGTAAACATTTGCATATCAGATCATTTTACTGGTCCACTGAAACTTTACAGCTCAAGTATGTCATTGACATCACTTGGTAATGCTAACTATAACTTTTCACAACGTAACAGCCAGGCTTAAAAAGCAAAAAATACATTATTTTGATCCCGAGATGTATTGAGCAGTGCAGCTCACAGAAGATCTATAGATATGGGATCATAGATAACAACCTCGTTCATATATAGCGTAAATGAAATAATATGAAATGATACATGACAATAGCTGACTCCCTTAATCAATCCTCTTTATACACTACAGCATTGAACAAGATTATGGCCATGCCGATTTCTGCACATCTGTACACGGCTTTAGGCATATCAAGAAAATAAAGAATATAATGCAAAGATAAAGCAAACAAGCTTATATCTTTGTTTTCTTATATCTGTGACATTACTTGAGTAAAATAGTTAAAGTGACATATCTTACATGACATAAGTATCACAATATTAGCAACAAATTCAACAAAAAAAACGTACGTTCGCAGTGTGTTGAAATGGATACTTACAGTTTTAATATAGCAATTATAGGTACTCCAACATGTTAGCTCAGAAGTCGAGCGCATACGAAATATGCAGTAAGAGAGTAAGAAAGTCTCTGAATTATGTGTTATACAAAAAAAGTAAATCTACCTTACAACGAAAGTTAAGTCATCTACTATTTACGAAAGCATAAATTAAGTTTATGGAAAGAGTTTCTGTATCTAGTTTTATTAATCTGATACAATTGAAAATAAAGTTCTGCTATAAAGCTTGATTAAATAATTTTACTTTTACCTAAATTCTCAGTATTACTTCTAGCCTAAATCTTATAACATGATTGGTCTTTCAAACATTACCTATCTCACCAGATAAAGATGTCCCAGCACGAAAATATTGAGGTACTAAAGCATTCTTCTGGAAATGCTGAAATAAGTTTTTGGTGCACAAGTCGCCACAGGAAATGAAACTAATGACTAATTACTTGATCATACATAAAAAAACACTTTTCATATCTGACTTTCTTTAAAGTAACTAAGTTCTATATGAACTTAATCTTGTGGTTAGCGTAAAGCAGGCAAGTAGTTTAATCTAAACATTTAAGAAAAAGGAAAAAGTTAAACATGCAACTTTTGGATACTTAATTGATATTCAGATACTAGGAAGGTTTTATTTTATTCTCTTAAGTAAATACTTTAAAGCTTTTTTATTCTTTTATTTTTTTCTTTCCAAATTAGAAAAAAAATCACGAATATGTTTGTAGGAGTTAACGTAACGTATATAGAAAAGAATAACTAATATTGAAAAACGAAATTAATATACTAAGCATATGGATTATAGATAACACTTATAATATAGAATGTTTTCTGAGTAACAAAGACGAAAGAAGTCAATGATCTTGTATACCATTCTTTGATACTAATTGACATTGGAAATACTTTACAATAGGTAATATAGGCTAATATATAGGCTTGTCCATTACATTCAAAGAAAAAAATACACTTTAACATCAAATATAGATTTTCATATATTTTGAATCAGTACCAATAGTTCTAAATTATTTTTTTTGTATTTTGCAAATTAGATACATTACTAACTTAAAAACAAGATTTTGTAAAATTTACATAAGATTTGTGAGTTATGTTTGACTTAAGTTAACCAGAGAAAATTTATAAGGAACGCCAACATCGAGACAGCAGCTCGTGAGAAGAGTGTTATAGAATTAATAATTCTATTATTTTTTGAGTTTACTTGCTGATTAATCAATATTCTATTACAAGTTACAGCTTTTACAGTAAGGAAGATTATTTTTTAGTACAGCTATGACGTTTCGATCACTCGAGTATTCATTCTCAAGTACACAAGTTTTAAGAAGGTTTTAGCATTTAAATCAACATTCAATAATCTAACAATGTATTTAAGTTTTAGAAATCATAGTGGTTAACTTATGCATGCGCATACCATTCGGCATGAATTGACAGATTATTTATTTATGGCTGAACAGAAAAAACAAACAATAAGTGAATAGATATAAAAAAATGTAGAATATGTTATGCGAGATATTCGCTTAAATTAAGAATATCTGGGGAAATAACAGTCAAAGCCATATAGAGATGTGTATGGGTATCTGTTAATTGTGAGAATATTTGATTTTATTAATAAGGCTTCTCTGTTTTTTTCTGTTAATGTCAGGTTCATGTTTTATTACAGTGATATTCTATCCAGAAAAACTGTTATTGATTTTGTTTATATGTTCATGGATTTGGGATTTGGGTTTTTGGTGCTTTTTTAACCTGAAGTTCAAGTTACATCCTGTTTCACTTGTGTAAAAGGCTGAGTAATTGTTACACTTTATTTTGTAATTGTTTCCTAGTGGGTTGAATTCGTTAGATAATTTTCTTAGCATGCACTTAATTTTCATTCCAGGGGTGAAAATTAATCTAGTCGTTATGTTATGGTTATATTAATTTGCTAATCTTTTCAAAATTTCTGATAAAGGTATATAGAGGATAGTGCAAGTGATTAGGCTTCCTTTGTTTTGTGGAGTGTTTTTCAAGTCTGAGTGTTTCTTAAGAGTCTCTTGCCTGTGTTTTTACTTAATTCGTTAGTAGTTTCTGGTTATATTAATTTGCTAATCTTTTCAAAATTTCTGATAAAGGTATATAGAGGATAGTGCAAGTGATTAGGCTTCCTTTGTTTTGTGGAGTGTTTTTAAAGTCTGAGTGTTTCTTAAGAGTCTCTTGCCTGTGTTTTTACTTAACTCGTTAGTAGTTTCTGTAACTACTTTAGTAGGGAACTGATTTACATTATTAAAGGATTGAGATAAGTTCGCAACTTATTCGTTGATGTTTTCTGTGGTGCATATTCTGATATCGTTAGTGTATGCTAAATTTAGGAAACGTTTTAGAGTGTCTAGCATCTGGTGAATTAGAAAAACCAACTTATGTAATTTTCGCTGTATGTGTTTTTTTCTAAGAATTTTAGTGGTGAAGCCTTTGGGGGTTCGTGTGATTTTAACGTTTAAACAATTTATCATGTAGTTGTTTTTATTATCAATTGTGAATTATATGTCTTTATACAAGTTGTTTATATGTTGAAGAATATTATTTGTTCATCTTGACA